GGAAGGAAGGAAGGAAGGAAGGAAGGAAGGAAGGAAGGAAGGAAGGAAGGAAGGAAGGAAGGAAGGAAGGAAAAATCGTATGAGGGAGAGAGCATGGGAAGAAAGAATGGATGTAGGGAGAGAAGAATGAATAGAGGGGAAACAGAATCCTAGGTGGGTAGCAGGAAAGAGGGAGGGAGAGAGAGAAGGAAGGAAAGGATGGATGTAGGGAGGGTAGAATGGAGGGGAGCTGGGAGGGAGGATTCCCTGTCATCTGACAGAAGACACGGAATTCACCTTTGGAGTTGCTGGCCAGATTGCAGGACCCCAGCGAGACATAGGTGGAGCCCAGGACCAGGCCAAGCCAGAGCAGCCCCCAGCCCGGCGGCAGCATTTCCGCCTCCGTGCGGCAGCTCCTTGGCGACGGTGACAAGCCCAGGCGCTAGGGCCGGGTAGCCGCAACCGCCGCCGCCGCCGCCTACGCAGACTGCGCGATTTCGCGGCCGGGACCGGAGTCCCCGGTGCCGCCGAATCACGAGTGCGCCTGCGCGCCTTGTCACCCCGCCCCGCCTCCTGACCGCCGGGCCGGTGCCGCGCGAACCCCTTGCGCAAGGTCCTGATTGGAGAGCTGCTGCAGAGTCTTTCCAGGTGTTCCCCAAAGGTCTGTGATGCAACCGCTGTCTTTAACCAGCGGTTTCCAGCCTCGTGGCCCTTGCACCTGCTTTGGTTTTCACCTGAAAGCCCTTTACTTTTCTCCTCTCTCTAGAAAAGTCACTTTGCCTCGCACATGAGCCCAAATGCCATTCTCCTTCACGGAAGCCCTTGGAGAACCCTCCATCCTCCGCCTAAAAGGAACTTCAGTCCTAGGCATTTGTTCAAGAAACACTCGGTGATTCCACAGATATGGAGACCAAGGACCGATGGCAGATCGGGAGTTCTAAGTTCCTGCCCTTCTGGAGCTTGCAGGCAATAAATAGCCAGTTAATCAAAGACTGGTGCTGGGACACAAGGTCTGGAGTCGCTTGCTATTTCTATGGAGGTGGCTAGTAAAGCGACATTAGAACAAAACCTTGGAAGTGCGTGACCAAGACACAACCACGTCCACAAGAAGAGTGCTCCAGGCAGAGGGAGGAGCTTTTGTGAGGAGCGAGCTCCATGGTGCTACAGGACCACAGAGGCCTGGTGTGTCTGGCTGATACCAGCAGAAGCGAGGAGGGAAGGTCATAAGGCCCTGACAAGAATCGTTCACAGTCGGCCTGCGGCTGAAGGTTGGGAAGGACACCACTGTCCCCGTCCACACTCTGGCTCCCACCTACTCCCCAGTGAAATATCCTAACACAATGCCAGGCGGACTGGAGACCCTTTGTAGGTAAATATTAGTATTGATATTGGACATGCTAATTTTCTCCTCATGGCAACTCTGTGAGCTATATGCGACTATCATTCCCATTTTATAAAGCCAGAAATCAAAACTCAGTGACGCTGATTCACTTGAGCAAGGACACAGAGCCAGGAAGTAGAGGCCAAGGTGTCTCTCCATGAGAAGTGTGCCTCTCAAGCGGTAGCCAGAGCATGGTCAAGGCCTGCAGCCTGCTGCCACTGCTGCTGTGCCTGCTTGGCAGTTTCCTGGAGACCCAGCACCGGCGGCCCCTCACACTGCTGCCTGTGTGGCGTACCCCTGGGAAGGGACAGCCTCTGCCTTCTCTCCCCAAACTAGAGCACACTGAGCCCCTCGGAGTCAGCCAGCCCCAGACAAGAGCCCAAGCTGTCAGGCTGCCCCTCAGCTGTCCCTCCTCATCCTGACACTTCAGTATCAGTGGCTGCTCAGGATCTTGCCCTTTCCCTCACAAAATATGGCCTTATCGTTTCACGAAAGTCTGAGCCCAAGGTCAATGGCTCCAGTGGATGTTCAGAAAAGTGGTCTTACACTTCTTACCTTTCATTGGCATCTGTAATGTTTTCTCATAGTGATAGGTGCCTCCTTCGAGACTGTCAACTCAGGACCTAATTTTCTACTTTTCCTTATCAAAAAGCCACTAAGAAAAAATTATTCAGTCTACCCCAGGGTTGACAAGAGAGGAGAATGAGGCAAAAGTTGTATGCAGTTTGTGCCTCTAAAAATGTCCTCAGCTCCATGTACTACCGTCCAGTCCAGACCCAGGGGTAGGGGCGGGATAACTCATGAGGAATAAGGAGGCAGACTGGTCCTTGCTTGCCCGCCTCCTCACAGACTGGGCACTCTGGGTTGAGGGACAGCAACATAACCCGATCGCGACCACAAAGATGGACTTCTGAGTTGTCAAAAAGAAGAGCTTCCCCAGTAGAAGGAATGGACGTGAAGAACAATACACCCAACCCAACACTGATTCGAGCACCTCTGACATATTGCTGAGGTGCTGAAGGCCACCAAGAAGAAGCGGCTGCAGAGTCTGTTCTGCACACCAGGCAGGCCTCCAGTGACAGAAAGGAGACCACACGTGCAATCTCATCTGTATGTTTCTGACACAGTTTCGATTTGAATAAAGGTGAACAGCTAGTATCCATTGACAGTTGTGGCAGACACACCCTGAGGTGGGTCACCCAAAAGGAGTCATGCTCTTGCATGATCCCTTCCCTTTGGAGGTAGGTGGAAGCTGTGCTTCTAACCCATGGAATATGGTGAAGGTAGGACAGAATGTCACACCTGCCACTGTGTTATCATGGAGAGATGAGTCCATTTTGCTAGCAGACACGAGAGAGATTCTCCTGCTGGTCTTTGAAAAGCCGTATTGTAAATTCCCATAGGGAGACCCATGTGGCAGGAAACTGTGAGTGGCCTTCGGGACCTGAAGACAGCTTCTGCCCAGCAGCCTGTAAGAAGCCAACAACTCAGTCCTAGAACCACAGGGAAAGAATTCAGCCAACAACCATGGGAGCCTGACAGAGGACTCTGAACTCTGGAAAGGAATTCAGCCGGGCCCCCACTTCAACTGCAGCCTCGTGAGACCCTGAGTGGAGGATCCAGCTAAGCTGTGCCTGGCCTCCTGACCCACGAAATTGTGAACTGATAAATGTGTATTGTTTTCAGCTGCCAAACGCACGGTAACTTGTTATGCAGCGATAGAAAAGGAACATATCGTTAGTCGTAACGTGAACAGACATTTGACCCCAAGGTCAATCCTAACAAAAATCAATATTCGATATGGAAGTGGCTTCCTATGCTTATGAAAGCATTGATGCCATAAAAGGGTCCATGAGAGCACGCTGGAATCGTCCCACAGAATCTACAGCCATTACGACTGATCTACAAGCTCTGCCAGGTTATGTGGTGCCTACACAATCATGCAGAGAAAAGACGGCCATCATCAAAGGAAAGATGGATGGAAAGGGGATGTCTTCACGTTTCCAACAAAGCCCAAGAAGCCACAGACACAACTGAGTTCGAACTTGCAGGTCAACCGGAGGGGCTTAAGAGGTGAAATGCAGAAGTAGAGGCAGATGACACAGGAGAAGTGAAAGTCAAAACTGAAGAATGACTTTTTGGTGTATATAATGCAATTTAAGGAACACAAAGCAGCCCACATTGCTATAAACACCCTAGACTGGAATGACTCCCACTACTGAAATTTCAAAGCTGATATTTTTTTAAAGTACTTAAACATCCCATCCGAGCAGAAGGTGAAACACCCTCCCACATATCAGCCGCATTCACACAGTAGCTTCAAATCATCGAGCAGTTTTTAAGGGAGTAGCCTACTTTCACTAAGAGCTAACGCGTGTGGCTGAGAGCATGACAAAATAGGCTTCCCATTACACTGGTCTTCCCCACAGGTGCCCTCCATCCCTGGAGGGAGGGGGACCAACCACCCCGACTTGCTGTGGGACTGGACGTGCTGCAACTGGGAGAGTCCCAGGAAAAGCAGAAAGAAGTGGCAGCCTATTGCCAGGCCCCCATCCAGGGTGAGCACACGAGCACGGCCTGCCAGGCCTGGAATGGGAGGAAAGGGACCACACCTCCCACCGCCCCAGGAACTGCAGCAGAGGCCCAGGTCAGCGCTAAAGGACCAGAAGGCTCATGATGACGGACACCACTGACTAGGCGGCCTCACCCACAGAGTGGTGGCCGTGCTCAGTACACGTGGCCTCCCTGGGGGCACGTGGATGGTGACTGACCAAGATACAGCCTAGAGTGGAAACTCAGAAGAGCAAAAACAGACAGCAAGAGGCCGAAGTCAGCCGCCCGACAAACAAGTCACAATCTCTTGCCCAGGTTCTGCCCCTGAGGCAGCTTTCCGACCTGGAACCATGGACTAGGGAGGTGGCCGGGTCGCCCAGGGGAAGGATGCTGCAGCGGCATGGCGGGAAGACACTGGGATGGTCCCCCAGCCCTTCTCAGAGGGACCTCCGCCCATGTACCAGGTGACTGAACACTGGGAAAGGGGAAAACCAGAGAGTTCGAGGCTGCAGGACGCAGTGTCCAACTTGACACGGAGGTGGGTGGCTCAATAAGCTGTCTCTGCATCTGCTTCTGGAGGACCCCCTGTGCTGGAGTTTCTGCGCGGAGGATGTCACTGGGTCCAAGGTATACTGGGCCAGTCCCAAGGAGGTCGGTCGTCTGGAGCAGGGAGAGCCAGGCATCCAGTAGGCTCCAGAACAAGGTGCCGAGCGCAGTGAGATGTCTTCTGAGGAATCTCTTAGAAAGTGGGATGACGCTTAACGTTAAATGAAAAATACAAAACAAATCGTAACACAGCATGAACTCAACGGAATATAGAAAAAAACGCATAGGAAGAGAACTGGGAGAATATCCCCAATCCTGAACTTTTTTGCCTCTGGGTAAAGCCTTGGGAGAATCCTTTGTCCTGATTCTTCATGTACTTTCCATCCTTTCCAAAGAGGCCACAATGAGCATGCAGACACTCGAGAGTCGGCTGAATGCGTCTTCTGCATGGGGCCCATTAGTCCTCTCATTAGAGCCTGGTAACCATGGTTATAGTGTGGCATCAAGTACTCTGCCACCCCCTCCTCCACTGAAGCAGTAATCACATCAGCTGGACTGCGCATCGGCTGGGCTGCAGCATGATGCTGGACGCCCACCTGCCCACCCGCCAGCTGCGGAGGGCCTGGAGCAGGAGCACGGGACCTGGCTTATTTGCTCAGCGACTGAGGACAGTAAGGTACGCGCAGAGGGAAGAGCCCAGGAATGACGGGAAATGAGTGTCTCCTTGCCCCCAATTAAAGTTGATATAAATATTGGTGACATGAATGCAGTGTGTGTGTGGGGGGGTAGTCAGAAGTTCACAGAAACTCCCAGGGTTGCAACCCTGCTGTGCCACGTTCTGTGAGCAGCCCCCACACCAAACCAGGGTCGCCTGCCAGTGTCTGCACCACCCCTATGGTGCGGCTTCTTCCTGTGGCCTTGCAGTGCCGAGATGACAAGACTAGAACTATGTACAGCTCTCAGGTCAGCCCACTCGACCTGCGCCCTGCTGAGAGGGACCACTCGACCTGCGCCCTGCTTAAAGAGACACAGGCAACTGCAGCTGCGCCCTGAAGACGGAGAGGAAGGTGGAGCCAGGGGACCATGCATCTCAGAAACAGGCCAGAGGAGGCTCAAATGCGAGAGTTGGGTCAGGAGAAACAAGGCTCATGTCTTCCTGCAGCTGGTCAGCTTCCCCGGGGCTTCTCCTGCATGAGTCCAGGACCCAGGCCTATGGCCGAGAGGTGACCAAGTGAGTTACAGAGACAAGGAGCACTTTTTCATGGGCAGAGTGCTGGATGCAAGGACACTTCCTCTTTCGGGGACCGCTCATCCCACATGGCGGGCAGCCTCCAGCAGGAAGGGCAGTGGGACAGTCCCTGACCTGTGGGGTCACTTACAGTTTGGAGAATCTAGGCAAACACTGAGTCCCAAGCAGGCTGGCAAGGAAGAGGAAACAAACCTGCGAAGGGCAGGAGCAGGAATCTGAAACATAAAGCACCAGGGCGGGGTTAGGACCCAGACTTCACAAAGAGCCCCGACAACTAGGCGCCAAAAATGCAAGCAGCTCAAAGAGAGTTAGCCAAAGGCAGTTCACCGGGAGGAAGGGACCTACCGACAGGTCCAGAAGGGAAACCAGGAATTTGGGTCAAGCCGGTCCCAGCCCGGTGGTGCCACAAAACCCATGGCAGGAGCAAAATGCAACCTTTCCTCTCAGGGCCTCAGAATCACAGCAGCATGGGGTGACAGGTGGGGGGCTGGACCAGCAACCTGCAAAGATTTAAGTGCTCAGAGGGCCATGGGGAGAGTGAGTTCTGCAGGGTGCCGCCAGGGGGCCAAGAAAGGGAGGCTGACTCTCAGCAGGCGCCCTGGGCTCAGAAGAGGAGGCCATGGCCATGGGCATGGTCCCCTCAAAGAGCAATGGTGGAAATAGCAAGGACATCCTGCAAGAAAGACAGGGCGCGTTCTGGGGATGGAGTCCCGGACTGGGGAAGAAACAGCTTAAGGAGGAGCCTCTCTCCTGCTCCGGGAGGCTGGGCGTGTTCTAACAGTGTCTGGGAGGGAGCAGACGGAGTCCCAAGAAGACCCCGATGTCCTCTGACAGCTGCCGGGGCTCGGGGGCGCCCGTGGAAAGCCAAGCAACGCAAGTTGGCTTGGGCTGGGTCCGGGTGGTGAAGGCTGACCTGCTTGCCATGACTGGAGAGCGAGGGAACGAAGGCCTGTCCCTGTCAGCACTTTGTTCCTGAGATGGCATGAGAAGCAAGTAGAGAAGAGAACGTCATCCAGAGATCAGAAATCAGATCCTTTTAGGGTTTGGTGCCAACTTTTCATTTGTACTGAAAATCAAGACTGAGTTGCAAATGGGTCCATTTGACATGGGCAGCCAAACACCATCCCACTCCCACCTGCGACATGGCCATGCCACTCTTCCTGGGCCCACCCACCCGGCAGCGAATTGGCCTTGCAGCCACTACCTTTGAACTTCTGCTCATCAGATCACACTCTTCACCTTTACTGTTCCATTCCCCAAGGGAGATCGTACACCCCGTTCTCAGCATACACAGGGGGGTCAGAAAAGGGAGACCTTCTGTAGTGCCATCACGACTGTCCCACGCTAGCAGCCATAGAGTGTAAGTCTCTAGCTCACTGGGCAAGTTCTATTTCTTCAAACGACAGGATCTGGGAGGAACACCAATAGCCCGCCATTCAGAGCCCCCTCCCTCACTACTTGAAATCCCTACCACGAGGTTCTTGGGCATTCAGCAACAGCTGGTAACCATTCTTGGGCGCAGACCCAGGAGGGGAGGCTGACATGGAGGAAGTTGGACCTGGTGATCATACAGGCCCCCTGCAGCCCCGAGGCCTAAATCTCATGGAGGTACCCTCTGCCCCTCACCTCATCGCCAGCATTCCTGTTTCCTCCAGCTTCTGCACAGAGAGAGATGTGCGGTTCAATGGCGTGTGGAGGACCCTCAGGAGGAAAGACGCGGGTGTCCAGGCCAGTGTGGGGTCTCAGGTAATAGCACTGAACCAGGACCATGAAGCCAGAGTTCAGGGAGTAGCAGTGGGAACAGGAAGAGGAGCATTTATTCCGATCAGGCATTTCAGAGGCAGGGACACAAGACTTGGCCATCAACTAAAAGCAAGGAAGGGAGGGGATAAGGGGACGCCAGGAACAAAGTATGATGGCACTGAGAGGGTCGAGCCCTGAGAGGTGGAAAGGAGGAAACAGCTCTGACAGGGAAATTAGCCTTGTTTGGGACATGTCAGCTCAGAGAAACAGCAGGAAACAGTGCAAATTTTCCTCCTCACCTGCAAAAAAAAAAAAAGGCAATATGAAGACCTACCCTCAGGAACCCCGCTGGCAGTCCCTGAGAAGTGGGGGACTTGCAGGAAGGATAGCTGGCCTGGGCATTCTGTCCTGAGGTGCAAAACAGCCTAGAGGTCCTGCCCTCTCTCTGCCTCTGTGTCCCCTGGGATCCATTCTGAGGGTCACTGAGGACCTTGGGCTGCCACTTTGATTCACGCCTATGGGTGCAGCGCGGACTGGGCGCTGATGTCACTGGAGTGAAAAGGGCACTGCCTGGCCATGTGCACTAAGCGAGCCTAGCCAACCTCCCAATTGGTACCAGGGCCAAATCTACAATACTGCCTTCTCCACGCCGCTCCTCCCGGGGCTCCACCCCCTTCCAGCTCCTCCTCCCAGCTCCCTCCCCGCTCTGCCCTGCTCCTCCCCAGCTTTCAGCGAGCTCTGCCATGCTCCTCCCCCAGCTCCTCCTTTAGAGATTTACCCGGTTCCGTCTAGATTCCCCTGCACAACTTTCCCCCAGCTCTGCCCTGCTCTACCCTCAGCTAAACACAGCAGCGCCTTGCTTCTCCCCAACTATTCTTCAGCTCCGCCTGCTCCTCCCATAGCTCCGCCCCCAGCTTTTTCACAGTTCCGCCCCAACTCCTCCCCGGCTCTTTCCAACAGGTCGGCCCCCAGATTCTCCTCCCCCAGCTCCGCCTTCTCCCTGAGGCGCCGTCCCCAAGTTCGCCTCGCCCCGCCCCTTACCCTGCACATATCACTTCCTTATCATCCTCCCCCGTTTTGGGCCATCGGACTCCATCCCTCCACCGGGCCTGTTCGTCCTACGCTGCTCAGTGTCGAGTCCCACGTCTCCTAGCAACATTGGCCTCCTTTCATATCTGCCTGTGTACTTTGTGCATTTACGTCACTGCCTGGCTGCGTGCCTGCTCGTGCGTGCTTGCTATGAGCGTGCCCGCCAGAGGCGGCCGTGTCGAGTACAGGCGTGGTGCGTGCGTGTCGGCGGACGGCGTACTGTGTGCGTGCGGGAAGCGTGCTGCGTTCGGGCGGTGTTTTGCGTAAGGGCGTGCTGCGTGCGGACGAGGCACTGCGTGCCGGCGGATGCCGCGCTGCGTGGGGGCGGTGTTGTGCGTAAGGGCGTGCTGCGTGCAGGCGAGGCAATGCGTGCCTGCGGATGGCGTGCTGCGTGCGGGAGGTGTGCGTATGACGTACGTAAGGGCGTGCTGCGTGCGGGCGGGGCACTTCGCAGTTCCACCCCAACTCCTCCCTGGCTCTTTCCAACAGGTAGGCCCCCAGATTCTCCTCCCCCAGCTCCGCCTTCTCCCTGAGGCACCGTCCCCAAGCTCGCCTCGCCCCACCCCTTCCCCTGCACATATCACTTCCTTGTCATCCTCCTCCCGTTTTGGGCCATCGGACTCCATCCCTCCACCTGGCCTGTTCGTCCTACGCTGCTCAGTGTCGAGTCCCACGTCTCCTAGCAACATTGGCCTCCTTTCATATCTGCCTGTGTACTTTGTGCATTTACGTCACTGTCTGGCTGCGTGCCTGCTCGTGCGTGCCTGCCATGGGCGGCCATGCCTTGTAAGGGCGTGCTGCGTGCGTGCAGGTGCTGCGTACGGTCTGCGTGCTGCGTACGGGCCACGTGCTGCCCACAGACGTGCTGCGAATCGTTCTGCGTATGGGCGTGCTGCGTGCGGGTGCGCGCTGCGTACGGAGGGACGGCGTGCTTACTGCGTGCGTGCGAGTGACGAGTTGAGTACGAGCGTGCTACGTGCGGCTGACGTGCTACGTGCTGGCAGTGTTTTGTGTACTGGAGGACGGCGTATTGCCGTGCGGGCGTGCTACGTGAGGGCTTGCTGCGTGTAGACAGTGCTGCGTGCGTGTGTGCGTGCGGGCGCAGTGCACGAAGTTATGCTGAGTACCTGCATGTTCTATGTATGTGTTCATCTTTTTGTAAGCCCCGCAAAAAGAGAGATGATTGCATCTGTGCCAGTACGGCATGTCTAACCACCGCGGGGCACTTGTCACCTGTCAGTATTCTCTGATCTCTGGGCTGCAGAGGCGCAGCCACGACGCCAGGCCAGGTGCTCTGTCGTTTCGGCTACTCAGTGGGGTCTGCAGACATGCCTCATCATTAAGGGAGCCAGGAAGCTCAGTTTGGATGCTGACCTGCTTGGTCCTCCAGGGGACAATATCTCTAAGCTGTGTTTCCTGTAGCCATTTCCTCACACTGGAAGCAGGCTGGGAGCGATCGCAGGGCAGCTGAGGCCACACTTTTCTGTCTCTTTCTCCCACGACCTCCACCTGCCAGTCTTCCTTGTCAGTGTGTGCTGGTGATGTGCCACTCCTCATAGAAACACGTGTGTCCTGGTCCACATGCACATGTCCGCCCTCACTCCTGCCGTTTCCACTTCCTGCTTGGCCCTTAGGTTGTCAACAATGTACCCAGGCCCCAGGCTGTGCAGTGCTCAGCTGGTTGTCTGTGGCACCTCTCCCAGCAGGACCTATCCAGGATTACATTAAGGGAAACGGGATTGTAAGGTCCCTGAATCCTTCTTACCTGATGTGGAGGACGGCGTGCTGCGTGCGGGCGAGGTACTGCGTGCCCGTGGACGGCGTGCTGCGAGCGAGTGGCGTACGTGTGACGTACGTATGGCGTGCTGCGTGCGGGCGGGGCACTGCATGCCGGCGGCCGGCGTGCTGCGTGCGGGTGGCGGTGCGGTGCGGGGG